GGCGTTCGAGCGGGCTCCTCCTTGGCCCAGCGGCTTTTGCGTTCCTCCTTTTTGATTCGCACTGGCGACGCTCGACTTCGATCTCGGCTGCCGGATCGACGTCGCCTAGGTGGACTTTGATCAGAATTTCTTCTCTGTCTGGGCGGGGATTGATCGGAATCTCGTCGAGTTCTGTGTTGTTTTAAGTCTGCTTGGCGTCTTCTGGGTGGGCTTTGATCTGAGTCCTTTCTTCTTCTGGGCGGGCTTTGATCCGAATCCCTTCTTTTTCTTGGAGGGCTTTGATCCGAGCCCCTTCTTYTTCTAGGCGGGCTTTCATCTGAGTCCTTTCTTCTTCTGGGCGGGCTTTGATTCGAATCCCTTCTTCTTCTGGGCGGGCTTTGATCCGTATTACGCACTCGCCTGGGCGGGCTTTGATCCGCGTCCTTTCTTCTTCGAGGTGGAGACTGGTCTGCATTGAAACGTCTCCTGGGCGGGCTTTGATCGTCATCATTTCGTTTTTTCCTCCTAGGCGGGCTATGGTCATCATCTCGTCTCCTCCTGGGTGGACTTTTGTCATCATTATCTCGTTTTTTTCTCCTAGGTGGGCTTTGATCATCATCTCGTCTCTTTCTGGGTGGGCTTTGATCATCGTCATCTCCTTTTATCCTCCTAGGTGGACTTTGATCATCTCTTCTCCTCCTGAGAGGGCTTTGATCATCATTTTTTCTTCTTCTGGGTGGCGATTGATCCACATTACGCTCTCGCTTGTTCAGCTTTTCTTCATCACTTCGTCTTCTCCGGTTTGGGCTCTGATCCGAATAAAGATGCTCTCTGAGCGGGCTGCGCCTCGTCGGGCTCAACTCGCGACTGCTGCTGCGCTTCTCCAACTTGATTTTTATAGGCARCTCCGGCTCCTGTTTGATCTTCATAGTTGACGCTTTTCGACCCCATAGAGACGCCTCCTCCTTCTCACTAGCGGGCTCTTGCTTGATGCCGTTTTCCTCGGCTTCTGTTTTCGGCTCATCCTTAACGGCAATGTTGCGCCAT